TCGAGAATGCATCAATGCGGTCTTGTCATCGTATTAGAGCACGCACAACAGAAACGCATCATATCGTGGGCATCGGATGGGTTGTATGATCGCGCAAGGACCTTTTCCTGCCATTGAGCTCGGCTCGGCTCGCTGAAGCTACACTTGCTGCTGACCGATTCCACCACAAAGACAGTGACGACATTGCTTGTCAAAACAGACACTGAATGAACAAGGTCGAATGGCCGTACAGGGGTAGTTGCCAGTGTGTGTGCCACTTCACACCATCGATGGAAACGGCACCCGAGCACCCGGCAACACAGGAAAGAGACCCCTGTGGCAAAGGAGACAAAAGCATCTAAGGGGAGCTAGAGACCTTGAGAAGAAGATACCTTAATAATGCAGGTCCACGTACACAGCACACGTCTACCAACGTCCCGAACCCAATTTCGAAGGTTCAAGAGAAACAGTTCAACCTGAGAAACGGTTCAACCTGTAAGGTTTGCGCTGCGGCTGCAGTGGTTCTCAAGCAAACCGGTCATCTGCCACCGTTCAATGTCAAGCCCACGTGAGAGGTCCCTCGACCCCAATTCCCGCAGTTGAACCTGGCGGGGCAAGTTGCGGACAGTAAGCCTGGGCCCTGGGCGACACCGAGTGAGGGGAGGGCGCTAATTGGTTCCCTCCGTCCGAAAGGTACGGCAGGGAAGAACTGCTTGGCTGAAATACCCCGAAACTGGACGAGCGGCACTGCTGCATCCAGGCAGTTTCGCTGAACCCGTCATCGAGTCGAGTCGGGTGGAGTCTGGAACTTCTGGACCGACAGACACCGAGAGGGCAAGAGGACCTCACGGGGTTGTCTGTGTTTAAAAAGTGTATTCCTGTATTTTTGTGTCTTATCTTTCCTGTTTATTGAGGTAGTCTCGAGACCACTGCAAACTCAGCCCTACCGTCGTCAAAGGCAGACGACACCTCGCCGTTCGCCGATCGTGACGCAGAACCGTCGTGTTGCTGGTGCATGTGATTGTTAGGCTGCTGCTGCCACTGCAACTGCCACTGCCGTCCTCAGACGTTCACAGCATATATATGAGACACGGCTTCACTTATATACAGAGCTCTTGGTCCCCCGCACACTCTCTTCATCCCATCATTACAACACCTTTCCGTCGAGGCATCAGGACACCAAGGATACCTTAACTGTACCAACCAGTATCACTTTCAAATCACATCATACCTCATGTCATGGCAGTCAACATGAATCCAGCAACCGTAACGTCACCGGATATCGCCGCCATTGTGGCGCCTCTACTCTCGGCTCTCCCTGGAGCTGCCATCTCCACAAAGCCCGCACCGGCAGTATTACCGCTTCTCTCACCAATCCTAAGGCAGCGTGTCCAGCTGCTGTCTTCCGCCAGCACAGAGCCGTGGATCAGGCTGCTCACCTATGACACTGGAAAGGCTGCCAAACTCACCGCAATTGCCCAGAGAGGAACCTTGGAACCACATCCGGTGTCGGGCGAGATCGAGGTGGACTGGGACTACAACGTCCAAATCAAGTACCGGAGGCTAGACCAAGAAACGATACAGACGCTCGTCGTGCTAGACGAGTTCGACTTGTTCGTTCGTCTGATCTACTGCACCGGGGACGGAAAAGCTGGATGGCGGGTTGGCGAGGTCGGCGTGGCCAGCGATCCCTCTCCTCTAGCAGCTTTCGGTGGCTTCTCAGATCTGGCCGAGGCGGAGAAGTCGTTCCAGGCGCAAAGCACGGCGGAGGGGAACAGACAACCAAGTGTCAACGGGACAAATACCGCAAATGGAATATATGGTGCTCCAAGGCAGCAAGCTCCAGTTGTGGCGGAGGAGGAAGACGACGACGACGATGACTACTGGGGCCGATATGATGCGACACCTTCTAGAACACCGGCCGTGAAACGCTCCCCCGCGCCACAGTCGATGACCGCCGCCCAGACGTCTCGGCTCAGTATCGACCGCAGCGCGTCCGCCGAAGACGCTTACTATGCCCAGTATGACTCGGTCCAGCCGGCCATGGACAACCACGATCCGGATGAGGAAGTCGAGGCCCCCGCCCCGCCATTGGGCCTGGCCAGAGCTTCTGCCGCGGAGGAAAAGCTTGAACAGACGGAGCTGGGCGAGACGAGCGGTGCCTGGACCCTGGCGGAGCCTCCGGCGAGATCGCCCTCTGCGCGATCTAACCGGTCAGACGACGCCCAGAGGGTTGCGAATCTGCTCCACCCACGGCCGGAATCGAGTGCCAGCTCCAACGGATCGTTGATGGTCGCGAAACTCGAGGAGAGCGCAGAGAAGCGGGACCAGAACGAATTCGGGGTAAAGCAGCATATCTCGAGGAGCATCAGGAGTTTGTTTTTGCTCTCGCGCTCGTCTGGTATCGACCGCGAAGAATTCGAGAGGATGGTAAAGACTGAGCTGGATGTATTAGGTATGGTTGAGGATGATATTTGAGGAACGGACCTGCATTTCAAGTTCTTGTTTGGTTGTACATATTACAGATTTACAGATTTGTTCCCCGGGGGGGGGGGGGGGGGGGGAGGGGGGGTTGCATCTGCAAGGAAACTTGGTTTTGGCTATTTTGCTTCTTTTTACTGTCCCTGCGGGAGGTCTATTTTGACTGCATTTTGTCTTGGGAGCAAAAATCTCGGATCTGGCCATGCATCTTGTTCAAATGGTGTTTTGGGGTTGGGGGGCGAGTTAGTTCATCATTCATGCCGATGATACACTATTACACTATATTGGGAGGGTCAATTTGTTATTGTTGTTTCTTACTCTACGGAGTATCTGGTCAGCATCTTACTACTTGATAGTTCGGCAGTCATACCCAGATCCAATAACCATTATTACGAGGTACCTTGATCTTCGGTGTAAATCAGGAGGTTTGATGATGAATCGCATTTGGAATTCCTGACCCGCTCTGAATGGACTTCGGTTATGTCGATCATATACGGTAGGTATCCAAATCAATGGTTCAAAATCAGATCTTATCATTTGGTAGATACCTATGGGTCATTATTGAGCTTTATTTGAGGCAGTGAAAGTTCAACTTCACACCCACCTGGTGTGTAAGTGCCTCTCGAACCGGGCCGGCCAACTGTATAAGGGTTAGGGTCAACTAGCGCGACAGCTCAGCTATTTTTGCCTGGATTGTTAGGCACTCAATTGAAAGCTCACTTGTGCTTTTTGCCCGACAAAAAAGTTCAAGGTCGCGTTGTTCGGCGGCCGAAAAGAGAGCGAGATTTCGTTACCGACGACGGTGACACCGCTCTCCCCCTCTCCAGCAACCGCCTCACCACACTCGCACAACATACCCACACACATACACGATGATACGCCGCAGGTTAAGGATACCGCGGGTCGCGCGATGCGGCTTGACGTCGACTCCGCCGCTTGCGTCACGGTCGCTGCCGTTCGCCCAGTCCATCATACAGGCACAGGCTGCTCAGTCGAGGTCGCTAGGCTACCACTACGTTCCGAAACTCATCCACGATTTTGAGAAGACCGGAGTACCCGATTTCTTGTCGGCCGAGGGATACGATATAGCATGGAAACAGTACCAGACCTTGATGATCGAGAAACTCGAGGAGAAGACCGCAGGTATGTGGTGGTGTGGTCCTAAATAGGTTCTGGAGCCAGTGAATGGGGGAAAACATTGTCTGTTCGTGCTGCTTGGTGGTGATAGTTTCCTCTCGCCCAGAGTCGACAATTATCACACAGAAACCGGAGAAGGGAATGAACGACTAGGCGACCAAGCGGGACGCAAATGGAAAAACTACCTGCGAGAGAGAGACCAACCCACTAACATAAGTGAGCCTGATGCGCAGAAACCCAATGGGCGAACAAGGAACTCCTGAACGTTGTCCTCCACACCGCGCGCGAGCCCAGGGACGCCGCCATCTTCAACTACGCCAGCATGGCGCACAACAACCACTTCTTCTTCAAGGGCCTGTCCCCCACGACTGTCGAGATACCCCACCAGCTCAAAGCGGACCTCGAGCGATCGTTTGGGTCCATCGAGACCCTGCGGCGCGAGATGGTCTATACGGCCGACGCCATGTTCGGCCCCGGCTTCGTCTGGCTCGTCCAGGTCCGGCAGTCCGGCATGAACGCCTTCAAGATCCTCACGACGTATCTGGCCGGCACCCCCTACGCGGCCGCGCACTTCCGTCGCCAGAACCTCGACGCCAATACCGATATCGGCGGCAACAGCCAGAAGGGCATTACCGCCGGCCACAAGTATCTCGAGAACTCGGCCAACGCGGCCGGTAAGAGGTCCGAGGAGGCCAGCAAGGAGAGCAAAATCGCGCCGGGGGGTATCGATGTTCACCCCGTCTTGTGCCTCAACACGTGGGAGCATGTCTGGCTGCGCGACTTTGGAATGGGTGTGGGCGGTATGGGCGGCAAGTTGGAGTATGCCGAGGCGTGGTGGTACCGGATCGACTGGAACGTGGTGGCCGAGATGGCCAACAAGAACAAGGCCACGCTCTATAAATGAGCAGTGACAGTCCTGTCGCTGGCGTGTTGTTTGAGTAGGTGTACAACTCTCTTCTACCCAAAACTTGGAGTGCATATATAGAGAGAGAATCTTCTGTCATCGTCGTGGTGGACTACCTACCTACCTGATGGAGGGTAAATTGGCAGTAACCTACCTGTCTGTCTGTTTGTATGTAAGATTTAGGGGTAGCAAAATAGAGACAAGACCTCGGAAAGAGTCTGGTCAATGGGGGAAGGGAAGTATAGCTGTGACTACTTAGCCTTTTACATACATCCCGGTAAACAAACCTCGAAAGAAGAGAATATAATTACTACATGTACAAAAGACATAAAGGGAGGCCGGGTGAACCTACGTAAGTTATGAGCAGATGTAAGCATAATTTACCATTATTATATATAAATGTGTTGTTTCAATTTGTCTCGGAATAAATACTACTTGTATTTATACTTCATCGAAGATCTTTAACCCTCTTAAAAATTGAAATAGTTCTTTCAAAAAGAGGTCGTGCCCGGGTTCGAACCGGGGTTACCAGAAGTGCTTTACTTTGTTCTCGACTAGGTCGAAAAGACTCAAAATCTGGAGTGATAACCACTACACTACACAACCGTCTGTCTTTTCGTTATTTACTTTGGTCGTTGTCTACATTCTCCATATCAAGCCCCACCTGCATCAACCCACCTCCTTTACTCTCAAGATGGAAGGTATTCTTACTTCTTTTCCCAGACGGACAAAGTGATGGCCGCTCCATAACCAAGGACGGAAGGACCAATTATATCGTTACCTTTATACCTTACCGGTGGCACTAACGGACACCATACTATGAGGTAAACCTTCAATGGACAATGGACAGCAGTCAATGAAAAGTACCTTGGATAGAGAGAACCTCGTACAATAAATAACACGCACCCAATTCACTGGATGGACCCTTCAAATACTTCATCGGACCGACAAGAGTTTTTACAGAATATTTAACATTTCAATTCATTATAAACTACCAACTACCAACTACCTAATAATTACCCACCTAATCAATCCCCTTCTGCTCCTATTTTGGTTTATATACCGTATATATATATATCAAGGAATGTGTGTGTCTCGTTTGCTAAAACGTTGCCGTTTGTCAACACATTTGACATCTACTACTACCCAAAATCCATTTAAGCATAATTCTCTTTCCTAACAAAAGCAACAACAGAAAAAAACGCCGGCATTTGCTTTCCCATTAATCATTCAGAAACATAATAACCCAAAGCAAAAATATGAAAAGAGAAGAAGGTATCATCGTAGTTCAAGAAAAGAGAGAGACTGGAAAGATGAGAGAGGAGAAGAGAAGAGATATGAAAGGCTCTTGCGATGATGTATGCATAGTTCGAAAAGGGTGTATATATACTCTTTCAGATCGGGAACGAAATTTTAGGGGCTCCGAAATGTAACAAGTACTATGTATATGGGGTGATTATATGTCCATAAGGAAACTGTGAAAGAGACAGAAGAGGCTCGCTCAGATCATGTTGCCATTGACAATGACCTCACAGCCCTCGCCCTTTTGTTTCATCGCCCTGGCGAGCATCAGCTCACGCATCCAATCGATGCGCTCGTCGCGGCCCTTGACGGCAAAGTGGTGCGTCTTGCCGGTGCCGTTGGCAGCGCCCTCGGGGCCGGGCAGGCTGGACGTGCTCGCGTTGCTGCCGTTAACACCGCCACCGAGTATGCCAGGAAGCACACTCTCCCGTTTGCGCAGCTTGACACCGCCCTTGGGATCTTGGGGAATGAGCTGGAAGCTGAAGGCGGCCACGTCCTCCTTGCTGCCGGGGGCGTCGCCGCTCCCGCGACGGATGTGCATCGCCTTGAAGGCCGCGTTGAGCTTGGAGCTGGCGAGGCTGCTGCAGGCGATAGCGTAGTCATCAATGTCGATGTACTCGAGCGTCTTGTTGGCCGCGGTCTCGGCATCCTTGTGCATGGTCAGGCGGGTGCCGCGCAGCGTGAAGAAGTGCTCGTGCCACTCATGTCGCAGCATCTTGGTCTTGCGCTTCTTCATCAGACCTTGATAAGAAATGGCGTTGCCACCCGTCATGTCCTCGGAAGGCTTGCCGCTAAGCGGTGACAAGCGTCCGCTCGTCTTGATGTTCGCCACGCCACCAGCCGCCGCCGAACCGGGCATAGGGGCGATGGCACGTTCAAAGGTAGTGCGGTCTGCCTGTGTCCACGGGTATTGTACGCGCGGTGGTGGTTGCAGAGGCCGTTGGCCGGCTCTCTGGGAGAATGACCTCGATGGCTTCTGAGTGATTGGTGTGACGATCCTGTTCTCATCAAGTGCAGGGAGCACAGGGAACGACGGCCGGCGAATAGTGGCCCGCGACATGGAGCGGGGTGGCGCCGGGTTATGACGGTAGTTCATGTCAGGCGGTACGGACTGTGAGATGTCACGAGAAACGGGAGGGAGTTGCTGCATCGTGACAGGCACGTCCATTTCGGAGAAGGGAGTACCGAAGCGGTAGAGCGCAGTTGGGGTGGCCTCCGATTCAGCGGAAGACGGGGACATCTCACGGAACGACGGAATGACTTGGTCAACCGGCCGGGCAGACCTGGGGTGAGCTGATGTAGGCTCATGGGCGGGAACGGAAGCCGAACGCCCCGGGATGGAATTTGGAATAGCACCCGGAATGGCAAGCCTGGGCAGAGAACGGAGGTTGGCGTGGGGGGCTTGAGGGACGTGTTGGCCATTTTGCGGGAAGATCTCGAATGGAGGCGTTGGCGGTACTTCGCTGGATTGGGTGAGCGGGTGAGTCTGGAAGTCGAGGAATTGTCGGACGTTGTCTTGAGGGTCGCGTTGCTGGATGGCTCGGAGGGTCGCCTCTTGCAGGTACTGCAGAGGAGGAAGGCTGCCAGGACCCATGACATCGGACGATGCCACGACCGATGGGACGGCATCAGAGACCGGGCGGAAGTCATCTTTGATGGCCTCAGCAGTCTCCGGGTTCCCCGGATCACCAGCAACCATGATGACACCGCCTTTTTCCACGTCCAAAAAGGGATGGTCCTTCTTGAAGGCTTCAATCATGCGCTGGTTCCGCCTCCACTTTGGACAGTTCTCTCCCTTGGAGCAGCGATGCGGTTTGGGCATCATCTGCTCGATGCCCACGATTGACACCGACTCGAGGGGAGAGATAATGTCGTTGATCTTTGGCCGTGCTTTGCTTGGCCGCCGCTTCGGCGCGCTTGTGCTGTCCTGCCTCCGCATCTCCCGTCGCACCTCCAGGGCCGGCTCATCATCAATAGGAGTCTCCACTTGGGGTTCCGGCTTCTTGATATTCCTCATGGCGTGGATCTCTTCCCAAATTCTCGTCCTCACGCCAAATGATGAGATTCCCAGATCCTTCAGATCCTCAAACTTCAACGTAATCAAGATGGCACCGTTGATATCATTCTCTACAAACCGGTCAGTGGCCGCAAGTTCCAGACCGGCGTTCAGCATCCACTGCGCAACCATTTCCGGAGACCAGTTAACCAACGTCGCGGTATCGAGCTCTTCATCCGCATATTGGAAAGGGCTAATCTGCTGCTGCTTCTTGCTCGGGAGCGGGGTTAGATGAACGGTAGTCTGGAGATGTTGATCCATATATCGCGGCTCTTTTGGTGTAAGTGGTGAGAGCGAGAGAGCATGCTGATACTCTGCCGAATGTGATGATGAAATTGAACTTCGGAATAGGTGCGGTCCCCTAGGTCCCTCCACGGGCTTGGGCTCCTGCTCAAAGAAACCTGGCCTGAACCGTACTGATCTTGGCGTCTGAATCTCATCATAAGATGAAAGCGTCGTTATACTGGGTTGTCCCGACTGTAACTTCCATGAGCGATTAGGTTATAGATAGCAATCGAAATTTGGGGTATGAAACTCACCGATCCCACGCTGACGCGCGGAGAGCTCTGGCCGTCCTCGACGGGTTCATCCAGGTCTTCGAACTCGCTGTATATCTGGTCGTCTTCATGCATATCATCAGATTTATCCTCGTCGTCCATCTCCCAGTCCGACTCCATGAACTCGGTATGTACCGAGTTTGGTCGGTTCTTTGCACTGGCGGCCATCGTGAATGCCTGAAAAGTTTCCCTCCGCCCCTTCTCACGCATTTCCATCTGGCGTGGCCGCTCGTCCATGGTGAAGCGTATATGCTCCTGTAGCCGATGTTAGTACCTCAACGCACCCTGTCAATCCCCAATTGGCTTGCTCGGGTAGCCTACCATATTGGCTGTGATCCCTTGTATTAAGAAGGACGGGTCTGGAATTGCTGCCGTTGCCGGCGATCTCGATCTACCTCGACGACAGGCCGAGAGTTCGAGGCAAGATGTACCGAGAGAGAACAGAAAGGGAGGCTATCTAGAGCGGATTATGGGGACATCAGACGATTAGGTGGCGACCAGCTTCGTGTACTCGCTTGACCACTGCCGGAAGCCAAAACAGAGGAAGAAGGAGACGGTGGGACGATGCGTCGGGCAGCTGCAGTGGGTTATGTATGACAACAGAAGCCGTTGAAGGGGAGCACCGACAGACGCAAGCGCGCTGGATGTGAGGTGACAGTTTGCAGGTCACAATGTGATCGGTATGCCGGGTGTTGGTGGAGTTGACGAGGAACCTTTTCACAGAGCCGGACCGGGGAGTTGAGTCAGTGTGATATTGGCGAGCCAGAACTCTTTCGAGTAGAGCGGGGGGAGTGATCTTGCTATTGTTGCGGCCGGGTACAGGGCAGCCAGCAGGCCATAGTGGCTTGATCTGCCCTTTTTAGGCCTGTTCAGACGATAATTATAGCAGTGTCTGCGTGTGCGTGTGCGTGTGAAGATGCGAGTCAACTCAGTAGAACACACCCCGGCGAGCGGCAAGTCGAGAAAAAGACGAGGGCTGGTTGGGCAGCCAGGTGGGATGGGCACCCCCAATGCTGCATTCGCCATGCAGTTGCATGTGCGATGGACAGATGGACCGGGGTGCAATGGGAGCATCGAGGGAACCTTGCGTGCACTTGCGGTGCACCTCGCTGCTGTGGTCGCGGGACAGTCTTGCAGACTCTTGCTGAGGTTGGGTAGACGGCATGCGCCGAGACGGTGAGAGAGGGCGGCCTGCGGCCGCGATTGGCTTGAAATTCTGTTGTGCTTGCACTTTTATCGGACCGCCTGCGCCGCTGATTGGCCTGATGTTCCTAAAATCGACGGAGGCACAATTCAAAATAGTCGTCCTAAGCGCCGGCTGAGCTAGCCGCTAGTCCCGTTACGACAAGTCTGGACCTGTCCCTGTCAACGGAAGGGGGGTTACCCTTCAGTGCCGATCAATCGATCCACGCTCTCCGCTCTCCGACTCTCTCAACGTTCCTCTCCACACACTCAATTCCTCGTGCATTTGTGCTCGCAACCCTTACGTTGTCTAGATTGATCCTTCACCTTCAGTGTGGAAGATCTCGGAGAAAACAAATGGTGAGATGCTTCGTGTCGTGAACCCCCACTGAAAGACACGGCAGACTCTTCTATCGCTTAATTGCTTCCAAAGTTCTACACAGCTGGACTGGTGCACGAACGGGTCTCGGAAGGTCCCGGCCACGTTTGTATGTCTGCATGTTTCGTTT